AAATAAACACCAGCTGAAAACAGAGGTTTTGTGTTTAAGTTAGGGAAGGAGCTGGCAGTTGTGTTTGTGGATGCTGGCAAGACTTTTTTTAGCCATCTCACTAGTGACACCTAATGCACAAAGACAGAATCTTGTGGTAATAAAACGAGAGCAGCAGTGTAGGACGAAGGATGCAGTGGAAACAGGCTGCTGATATCTTCACATCTTTTTGTACTCGACTGATTTTATATTCACTTCCCACACATAGACACGTGGCTAAAAATGGATTGGGTTCTGGCAGCGTTTGCAGCTGAAACTCCTTCACAGTCGTTCATCTCAATATCACAAAAAAAATCCCTTAAAAAAGAACTCAAGCAGCACGTTTGACAGTGTGACGCTTGCAACGGGGGAACAGTCGCTGAGCTGAGCACGCCACACGCCACGAGCCCGTAAATATTCGCTGAACGAGAACGGTGTTCTTTGCACACACGGCTGATTGTATCCTGTAAGTTATTTATTGTGGATACGGAGTTACAAAATCACTTCAGTTTCAAACTCTGTTTCTTTCCGCTCGGCTTTGTTTTTGGACCCTGCAGGGTGAGCCGTGTCTGATGGGAGTCAAAAGAATCTACCGAAAGCTGAAGCCCACGTCCAGGTGCGTCATGGGAAAGACGTACTCAGTGACCATGACGTCGGCACCATGCGACTGCACAGAGGCTGACTTTGAATGGTCAGTATTTAATTTTCCTTCAGTCCACTTTGTATGTGCTAACACTTTACAATCCCCACTTTTAAACTGTGCATTAATAATTCAGCAGATTTGAATAAGTATAATCTGGGACTACTGGGCTCTGGTGGCTCCCTGGGAGCTGGAGAACTGTGCCAGGGTCTCTGCCTCAGTTGGTGGCGGTGGGGGACTGGGGTTGGTGCTCTCTAACGGTCTTGGGCGGGTTGGCCTCTTCTGGGTGGGTCCGGCTACAGGGCCTGGGGCCAAGACCCTTCTTGCGTGGGGTTGGTCTGCACCCCCTTGGGTGGGCTTTCTCAGGTGAGGAAGCATACATTGCTAAGTGCAGCTTGTCCCAGACACAGCCCAGGGTGTCTTGTCCTTTTCCTGTGTGTGTCCCAAGACTCATCTGAACACTCCGGTCTGCTGTCTTGGGTGGAGGCCCCGGACTGGGTGGTGTCATTGCAGACCCTACACCCCCCTTATGGCTGGGTGTGGGAAATGGGGGTGCCTACTGAGCCAGTTGTTTCCTGGCTCTCTCCTTACACCCTCATACAGCACATGCACGCGTAGGGTCACAGTGGGTGGAGCCATTCATGTGGCTGTGCCGGGTCTACCTGTGAGTTTTTGAGTGTTTGTGTTCCAGGTGTTGTGTGTTCGTTCTCTTACAGGTGCTGTAGTTGGCGATGCATTGTGTATTTCTTTTTGTACTCTGTTCTTTTATTATGTCTTCCCCAATCCTCTCCCATTATTCTCTCCCTGTCCTGCCTTAGACATTGTCATACTGTATACCACATATAATAGAATAACTGAAATAACAGGAATGTAAATGAAGAAGTAAACAGAAACAGCCTAAACAAGAGGAGCCTATAGAGAATTTATAGAGCTGCTCTTGGAAAAGCAAAATGTGTTTGGCGCACAGTGCATTCAGATCATCATTCTGATTTTAAAAGCTGCGGAGAGGTCAGAAGAAGAACAAGAAAAAGAAAAAGCAGCTGGAGCAGACACTCGACATTGTCAGAGTGTTTGGATTCTCTGTGTGTTTGCTGGGTTTTTTGTTTTTGCTAAGAAGTCTGACTCCTGTGAGCCCTTTTCGGTGTGTGTGTGTGTGTGTGTG